AGCATTCAGTTTTCCTGGGTTTCACACTCCCCTGGGTCCAGGGCCTGACACCAGAATGTCTCTCTTTGTGGACAGGGACATCCATCTGCTTGTTTTCTGACACTTTTTGCAGAAGCCCGGATGGCTGTGGTGTAAAAAACCACTCCACCCTGAATCCACAGTGCACATTTCGTAACTGTGTCCCTTTAATGGATGCACACGTGTCTATACAAACATAATGGTTTCCATGGAGACGTGGTCACAATGACTAATTAGACAAAAGAGAGTGGTTTTCAAAGCCTTGAAAGACATCATGGATGTAATAAACGAACATCATCTTATTCAATTGATGTATTCCTTCTCATTTCTCCCCAGAAACGTCAATAAATGGTTCCCGGGGACTCGACCTTATTATGGAGTCAGACTCAGCCACCCTTTCAGAGCCTTCCAGCTTCTCAACCATAGGATTCTGATGCTGGAACACATCCCAAAAGCGGCCACAAGGGCACTTGTCCACTGCCAGCATTTCCAGACTGGGCCGTCCCACTCTGGTCCCACCTGCTCATGGTGACCATTAAGGAGACCAGGGATGCTCCAGGCTTTGGAGACCTCATCCTATGCCCTCCATCGCACCAGCCTAACTTGGCCACCAGCTGCCCCACAGGGCTCACCCCGCCACCTTCACTTTTTTGTTTCAGAATGTTTGGTGTGACTTTTCTTGTTGTTCTCTCTCCCTCCCCAACAAAGCTGGGGCCAATGAATATTAACCAGCCCATGGTCTAACGAAAAGTTATCCTTTTCCCTATGAGGGTGTGACCCTAGCATAATATACTGGCAAAATTTCAGAAGTGAGAGAGAGAACAGCCCCAGGTACTTCTTCTAAGGGCTCCACACAGTGTGAGCTTATCCACTCTCCTGCCCTCGTTCCACCAGGACCCCAGGCGAAAGGAAAAATGTTCAGAACACAAAATACCCAGGCCTCACACTTTGGCTTAGAATGAAAAACAAACCTGTGTCAGCTAAATAAATGAGTCCAAACGCCAAAAAGAATACCCGAGAGACATCCCTGGACACAAGAAACAAATGACGACCATGCAAACACACTTCGACCAATGCTCCGAGAAAAAAATCACCCACAGGCAAAGAATCCAGTCTAGAAGAAAACAACCCCAAAACCAGAAGAAAATTTACTGCAGTTTTTCCCTGCTATAAAACTATATAACAAGACTACAGATATTTTAAAGACATAAACTCTCAGGAACAAATATAACAGAAATGATGACAGCAGAGATGTCATCAAAATTCTGAAGATAAAAAATGAATGGATGAATAGTAACTGATCCCCCCCCACACAAAAAAAAAGAAAGCTGAGACTTTCCTGTGCCTCCCAAGTGGAGAACCTGAATACAGTTGTTTAGAGCAATTTCATTCATAACTGCTAAAAACTAAAAGCAACTCAAAGGTCCTTTAACTGGTTAACAGAAAACCCAATTGTAATACATCTATACAATGGATTTAGCAATAAAAAGTAGTGAACTACAGAAATACGCAACATGGTTAATCTCAAATGCATTACGCTAAGTGAAAAAAAAGCCCAACTTCTAAGACTATCTTCCCTGAGTTACATGATTTTCTGGAAAAGGCAAAACTATGTAGGTACAGAAAACAGATTAGCAATTGTCAAGGTCCAGGTGTTGAATGAGGGGTTGACTACAGAGGGGCCCAGAGAACTGGGGTGAGTGATGGAACCATTTCACATCTTGATTGATTGTGGAGTGACTATGTGACTATGCATTTGTCTAAACTCAAAACTGACTGTACATGGCTCTGTGAAAAATGGATTAGGACAGGAATGGAAAAGTTAGTCACAGACTTTTCACAGAATATGCCTGTGTCTTTTGATTTAATGGACAATTTTACATTGCTGTCTCAAAAAATCCATCATCAGATTAATTTAAGGATTTTATCCGAGAATAACATTGTTAATTGTGCTTATAATAAACGATGTGGATTTTTAAAACCCGATGACTCCAACCACATGTTTTTCCTAGTCTCTTGTTAGATTTGGAGGGATCTTTTAAGAAACAATTGCATTGGTGATCATGTAATGTTTCTTTGAGGTTCAGAAATGCCTTTGGCTTCACTGGTTACCTTTTCCTGTTAATGTCAGATAAATTACGCTAAATGACTTTTTTCTCTTTCAAAAGTCTCCCATTTCACAAAAATGTTCCTATCTTCCTCTCCATCTAGAAACTCCACACAGAAACATAATTCGAATGATGATTTTTGAGGGCGAAAGGGGGTCTTTTTGTTTTTATTTATTGTACTTTTCTGGGGGTTTTTGTATATTAAAGTATATGCACTATTTTTATGAAAACAGTTAAGTCCTTTCCTGACTGCCCCCCCAAGTATGGTCACAGTTCCCCTCCTCTCCCTGTCACTCTCCTTACTCTATAGGTGCTGCCATGCCTGTCCCCCAGCCCCCTACTGGACTATACATCTTCAGTGGGCAAGAGTTCTGCTTGCTCATCCCTGTAGCCCATGGAGGGCCACGGTCCACACAAGAAGTCCTCAATACAAGCAGCTGGAATAAAGGAGACCACATATCAAGGAAGCCAGAGAAGAAATCTTTCATGAGTTTGAAAAGTAAAAAAAAAAAATCTGAACTTTCAATACCTCCCATTGTCCACAATATGAGAGAAATCAAGGGAGAAAGGGGCCAGAGCTAAAAGCTTAGCTCACAAGAACACTGGAAGATCAAACACAGCCATCTCACAGCCCCACATCTGGTAACGTGTCTCTCCTAAGGAAGGACTGAGCATTTGACAGAACCTGGGAGCTGCAATTCCAGAACCACGAGTAAGCAGAGAGAACTTCGGCATTTGATGGAACCACAGATGCCTGGAAGATACCAAGGTTAAGCAGAGATTGAGTAGATAAACCCAACAGATTCCGTGGCATTGATCGAGTCATCATTGATTGTTTGTAAGCCATCCCCAAATACTACGACATGAGATTTTTGTTTGATACATTGTTACTGATGAATTAATTCAAATGATGCATCCTGCAGAGCTAAGTATAGAAGGCATCGAGGGTGAGTCCCTTAGCCAGTGAGCGAGCCAAGCCCACCACCCATCACATCTCAACAGGATCTGGTTATTTCCTCTTGGTCTTTCCGTGTCCCCAGCTACTTCCAAGAAGGGAAGAAACTTTGCTTTTTTGTGTAAGAAATGGCCCCCAAAATAAATCCAATTGCTTATGGTGGTAATTAAAGGGAAGAGGGAGTGAAGAAAAAGTGTCGGCATCCGTGAAAGTGATGATGTAGAGCTACATTCCGAAAAGGAATATCAAATTACGGTGTCGCTCAAATCAGCTGAGCAGAAATGTGAGAGAGGAGACGATATGCATGGGTATTCCAGGCAGAAGAGCAAGTGCAAAGGCCCTGAGACAGGAATGCACTTGGAGGAATAGCAGGAAGACCAGAGAAGCTGGAACGAGGTGAGCAAAAGGAGATGAGCTCGGCGAGGGGGCAGGACAGACCCGTCAGGCCATGTAAGCCTTTGTAAAGACTTTGGCTTCGACTCCGAGTGAAAGGGAAACCACTCAAGGGTTGCAAGCAGAGACGGACGTGACTTGACTGACGTTTCTAACAGGATCCTTCGGCTGCATGTGGAGAATAACGTGCAGGGTGAACAAGTTCGGAGAAGGAAGGCCAGGGAGGCTGTTGCTATAATGCGAGTCGTTTGCTGGTGGCTCAGACAAATGCGGTAAAGTAGAAATGGTGAAAAGTGGTCAGATTTGGGAAATAGTTTGAAAAATCATATTCGCATGCTTGGGGGCTTTTGGGTCCACCCCTAGAGTCTATTTGGAGCAAGAATATTTTACTTGCGTTGAACCATGTATATTTAAATACGGCTTTAAATGATGCATCATATTCTTAAATATATTGCTGATAATAGTGGCTTATGGTCAATTTTAGTACCATATTGATTTTGATAAGAAGGACCAGGTAGGGTGCTATAATCTCTGACGTGGATAAGTGGCCCACGGGCAATCCCGCTGTTTGGAGGCAAGGTCTGGGTCCAGACACAACCACTGACTCACTTAGATATTCTAATGGCAATCGGTGGACTCAGGAGTCTGGGAGGACACACCTGACCTAGTGTGGCTGAGCCCTAAGGTCAACATTTAAGGGAAAAATTGTGTGTTTTCAAAACTACCATGAGATGCCTGGACAACCGGTGAAGTGGACTGATGGTGACTATAACCCACTTCAGTGATGCTCTGGCACCACTGAGTCTGACTGCAGGAAGGAGCAAGTGGACAGTCTCACACGGCTATGTACGGGCAGTGCAACTCTGCCTTCTGGTGCCAGGCTGGGAAGTGGAGGATGGGTGGAGAAATTGCCAGGCTTCCTGCTCACCATCAAGGTCTCCCCCATTCTGCTTTGATACGAAGCCTCTGAAACCTGATATCTGTGGATGGCTTTGTTAAATGAGATGGTGGATTAAATGAGATGGTGGCATCAGTTTCCAAAATCCAGGTGGGGTTGGAATCAAATAGGCTTGAGTAAATATGGCCCCCTCTTCCCCGTGCTCACTGTGTGGCTTGGGAAAATTACTTAGCCCCTCTCCCCTCAGAGGTATGAATAATGATACGTACCTCACATGAGCCGTGTGACAAGGCTATGAGATCATGCTTATCCAAGTGCCCAGCGCTGCGCTTGGCACCCAGCCTCAGGCCACGTTTAGCCCTGACACTGGCTTCATAAATGTTCCCTTGCTAGTCCCAGGAAGTGGTACCTGAAGGGTTTCAAGCCCTTTCAGAGTCCCCTTGAGTCTGTGAGTATTAGACCCCAGTGGACTGGTACATCCCCAGATTGGACCCCGCTGGACCTGTGCAACCCCAGATGGAAGACGCCCCAGGGGACTCCACACTCCCAGATTAAACCACTGACCCACAGGGAAGGAACGAGAATCACTTGTTCTCAGTGGAGTCTGGACTGGGTTGCTTAGAGTCACTGGACTTCGAAGGAGGGATAAATCTGCCGGGGAGTCAAAGGTACCAAACTTCTCAGGGAACTGCAAAATGATCAGAAAGAAACTGAAGCCCAGAAAGGTGAAGGTGACGTCCAAGACCACACCATCCGTAAAGGTACCACCAACAGAACTGGAAAGGCCCTTACGGATCACCACGTCTGGCCCATTTTTGCCCAGATAGGGAAACGAAGGCCCAAAGACAGGAGGGGGGTCGCCAAGGCCACGCAGTCACTAAGTGTCCGAGCTGTAGCGAGGACTCAGAGTCTGGGGCTCCCTTCCTCCCTCCGCTACTAGCTCCCACGTTCACACCTTTGACAATGTGGCAGAGGTTCCCGCCCCCCAACCCGCCCCCCCTTCCCGCAGCACTGCCACGAGCTGCACAAGATGCTCTGTGGAGCTGATGCAAAACATTTCATTTTGTATCACGCCTGGGGTGACAGCTGAGTTAAACCGAATGTTCACAGTCATTATGCTCAGAAACCCTGCACGCATTACACGTATTGGGGTTTCAGAATGAATCAGGTTTCCACACTCTCCTCTCTCCATCTAATCGCGTGTCTGCATATGGTAACCTTTAGAAAATGAGTCTAATAATTAGTCATCTTGGCCTAGTTAAAGACAACAGTATGTTCTCCAATTTCACTGTTTTCAACAAGAGAGTGATGCCAACGGTAATTTTCACCATGATCAAAATATGCTTCTCAGCTGGTCCGTGAAGTCCACTGAGACAGCAGCTCTGGTCCTGGCACCTGCTGGGTGCTTCCCCCGGCTCACTCTTTGACCAGGTTGTGCCTCCCACCCAGGCGCCCTCCTCCCACACTCATTCACAGTTCTTGACTCCAACCGTGTACTCGGCACTCAGCACTATACTAGATATTTTGGACTCATTACACTTAATCTTGTTTGCAAGACAAACCATACTGCCCCGTTTTGAAGATGAAAAAATTTGAGAACCTGAAGGTCCCGGTCCCTGCCTACAGTCCGAACCCCAGGTCCAGCCACTGCCCCTTTCTCCCTGCATTCCAGCCACGCTGCCTTCTTGCATGTCCTCAAAGACAGTGAGCTCATTCCCACCTCAGGGCCTTTGCACACGCAGACTCTTCTACCTGAAATACTCTCACCCCTGACTCTGCCTGGTTAACTCCTACTCACCCTTCAGCTCTCAATTCAAATGTAATCTCCTAAGGGAAGAAGTCCTCGCACGATCCCACACCTTCCTCTAGTAGGTCTTCGCTCACATAGCACCCTATAGTCCTCCACCTTTAAAGCAGTTATTACAATTTGTAATTTCATTTGTATGGGGTTATTTGCTATTGTCTGGCTCCCCTACAAAAGCATGAACTCCAAGGAAGGCAGGGATGATGTCTTCCTTGTCCATCATCACATCCCCAAACCTAAAAAGGACACAAAGTAAGTTTAGTTACTGTATGTTGGATGGATGGTGGATAGATGGGCAGAGGGTGGATGAAAGGTAGATAGGTAGTGGATGGATGATGATGGATAATGGATGGATGGATGGGTGAATGATGAGCTGGAGAGAAATGCTAAAAACAAGCAAAATTTGCCACCTATCCAAGTAAGAGGTGGGGCCGTAACGTAAACCCAAGACCTGTCAGTCCCACTTGTTCTGTATGTGATAATCTGCTCTCTCTCTCTCTTTACCTCCTTCCCTCCCTCCTTCCCCCTGCCTCTGTCCTTCTGCCCCGCTCCCCTGCCCCTCCTCCTCTCCCTCTTCCTATCCCTCTCCCTCTCTCTGACCTAGGAAGACTGCTCACCTCCCTAGAGCAGTTCTCAAAACTCACCACGGGGTAACCTTGCTGTCCAAACCTCCACACCCCCAACCCCACAGACCTGGAGCTTCAGAGGTACTGATTCAGTGGGTCCAGAAGGACCCCAAAATCTACACTGTCGACAAGGTCCCAGGTAATTTTGAAGGCAGTGGGTCCCAGACCTCCATTTGAGGACCCCTAGACGAGGGTAAATCCAGACGAATCCAGAGCCCGGGGGTAAGCGGCTCAGCCCTCCACCCCCACCAGCCTCCCGCTGGTGAAGCTGTGAGGGCATCAGAACCTAGGGCAGTGCTGCCCCCTGGTGGTCATGGCGGTGCTGCAGCTGTGGGCTTCCCAAAGCATACCGGTGGCAGGTGCCTCCCAAGGCCAGTGACATCTTGTGGCCGGGTCTGCCTGGGGGCCCAGCACCTGAGTTCTGGTCCCTGACTCTCCAATGACCTCTCCAGGACTTTTTTCTTTTCGTAAATGGAACAGAACCCGTGGTTCCCAAACTCCAGTTCTTTGGGTAACACCTTCGCCTTGCTCATTTCATATACTACCTGAACCATTATTTAATTTTTTTCCTAAATATATTTATGCAAAATGACTCATTTTGTAAATAGAAACTTGAATCCCCACAGCAGATGTGGATGAACAAACAGTTTCACTTGCTATCAATAGGGAATGGGGAGGGAGGGGGGGAGACATGGAGGAGGGAAATAAAAAGAATTATCAAATGTTTAAAAATCAAAAAGATCACAATTTTACCAACGAAAATGAACAGTGGCTTGCCCAGTGGTGGAACTATCAAGAACAACACAAAACTTATTATTATAAAAGTCGAGGTAGGGGTTATCTCTGGGGGGACAGTGGGGGTCCCTGGGACCCCCATTCTCCTGAACCTGAGAAGGAGTTACAATCATATATGTTAACCTGTATATATGAGTTTTATGCATTTTTTTTCTGTATTTTATATCATAATAAAAATGCAATGAAAATTTTTTTTAAAAAAAAAGAAGAAGAAGAAATACAAATGCACAGCTAAAAATAAGGGACGTGACACTGAGCTCTAGGATGCTAGACAGGGCCCTTGGCCTACTGATAAGACAACCAGGCAGGGCCAGGGGCCTTGACTGGATAAATGCCCCAGAAACATGCTGATAAGAAGGGGCCCGCCAGGTGGTCCGGCTCTAAGTAGTGGGTCTCCCACCACACCCCAACCCTCCTTCCTTCCAACCTACCTTCCTCTGGGCCCCCATGACTGAAGGTCAAATCTTCAAGAAAGTCTGTGGTGATCATGCCGCCCTCAACATCTGTAGTGTGGTGAACACAACATGAACCTACTCTGGGGCCACCATTAGCACCCCAGTTAGCAGGCAGGTGAGGAAAACAGGGCTGCTCAGTTTCTACCCAAAAATGGGCATCTGGAGACAGCCACATGGTCTACTGCCACCATCCATTCTGATTGGTTGACTTCTGTCCCATACAGTTGTCCCATGTGTTTATGATCAGCCCTGCTAATATTCGTTAAAGCGTGTGGGTAACTATTCACATAAAAACTATCTATCGAAACACTATCGAACATCACACATACCTCGGGTTGGGTACATACCGAGCTTCAGGATGAGCTAGGCACGACCTGACCCCTCCCAGGGCGACTCCAAGGACCCAAACGTCACATCTGGGCAATCCCCAGTGCGGAGTCCCTACAAAGGAACGTGGTTAACACCAGCGCTCTCATCCAGAAAAGATAAAAGCTGGACGTTCCCGGTGCAGATAAGGATGCCGGGGCCAAGAATGAGAGGGCTCCTGGTGGGAACTCGCGAATGCTCTGCGGCTTGCGTGTTTCCCATCTAACCCGCATAACCACCCCACCCAGGAACAACTGGGGAAACTGAGGTTGACCCAAGCACCGACCATTCTCTCCCTCCAC